AAAAAAAAAAAAAAAAGTGATTTAATATGATGAAAATACCTGTCCACCTATCATTTCTGTGATATGTTAAGAGAATTAGGCCTTCATTATAATATTCCAGCATAATATAACTTCAATTGTCATATTATTTCAATTTAGATAATATAGGAACCACTATTACAGTGAATAATCTATTTAATTAGTCTTATAGGATTTACCTTTTTAATTAAAGCAATTTGTTAGTGGTCATTAGTGATTTCTTGGTTCATTTTAAATGTATATCTAGGGCTAAAAAAATATGTGAATTATATCTGACAATCTTAAAGCTTTTAAATCAAACGAAAGGTATTTTTTGTAGCCTTAATGACAGATTTGAAAACTAATGCCCTTTAGTGGTATTTTAGTCAATGGGTAATTTAAATGTGTACTTTTATGTAAATTTTTTATTCCCTGATTATTTACGATAAACATCCTTCTTTTTATGTGATTTGAGTATTTTTTTGTGTATGTGTAATTGAAAGATAGACAACTTGGTTCATTTTTGAAACAAACCTATATGAAAAATTATACACTAAGGATATTCAAGAATTATTTTGTTCAAAAGTTTCATAGTAATATATATAGAAATAAAACAAAATAAACTATGACCAAAAAAATTTGGCACTTACGAGCTTTTTTAACACTAAATCCAGGAAAATGGAAATCATTTGCGAAAATATAATGATGAAGTTATAATTTAATGTATTATCATCTAAAATAAAACAGATTCTAGTCCTTGGCACATGTGCTCAAATGAAAATAGAAATACAATGATTTAGCATTTTAAAAGAATGTATCATTTAGAGGCATTATTCTGTTACTTTTTCTTTTAAAAAAGTAAATATATCCCATCAATCCATTGCTTTAAAAAACATAACCACAGACCCACATTTCAAATTTTAAAATACAATTTTCTGCATAAATATAGGAAGAGCTTAGATAAAATGAAAGAAAAACAAGCAGCATAATGGAAAATTAAGTTAGTTTGAACAGTTAGTATAATTTGACATTTGAAAAATTAAGATAAAAATTCAGTGCTAAGGCAGTTGATGTTGTTATTATGTATGTAATGTGCTTCTTATATTAAACAGAAATTTGAAAATATGATTTTAGCCAACTTGGGAAAATTTGATTTTCTTCTGTTTACTGTTTTCAAAGGGCCATCTTTACCTGACCCAGAATTAAAAATAAAACCACTGTGCATCTGAAGATAAATTTCAACTAGATAGTTTATTCAAAGAATTGAAGTATAATAGGGTATTTTATAGTAAGATGTTGAAAATCTCAAGGCTATTTTAAACAAAGTTAACATGCCTCTTCTGAAAAACACCTAAAGGAAAAACACTAAAATAAGAGTATAATTGTTTCAATATGACAATTTAATCATTGATCTAATTTTTTCCCCACAGAATAAGAATCAATTATAATATTAAAAGTACAAACAAATTATATAAATCTTTTTGAAGTCACACAGGTAGTATTCACAACTAACTTTGTTTTTCCACTATGTTTTGTAAAGAGGGATTAATTAGGCAGAGTCAAAAAGTGGTGAGTAAGAAAAGCATATAAATTTATAATAAAAAATCAAATTACCACAGAATTGAGGTCACTCTAATGGAAAAAAAGAAAAATTAGAAAAATCAGAATTAAATGTTAAAGAAAAAGATTAACTATATAAAATAAAATGCATTTCTGCATTTTTTTTTTAATTTACTAAACAAGACAGCATTAGTAAAACAAGAAAGTAAAAAGAAAGCAACATAAAGAAATATGACAAATCATTTTTCTAAAAAAGGTGAAACTGCTAGGGTTAAATGAATAGAAAAGAACACTATAGGTGAATACTTCAATAGAAGCAAACATTCAAGGGCACATCTTGGAGGAGAGAGGTATACTCCATGCCTTTCTAGTTCTGTAAATTCTTTACCTATGCTGTAATTCTTCATAGATTACTTAGGATGGATATACTATCCTCCACATTCAGAATAGATTGACACTGTATAGCTTTTCTCAAATTTATCTAATAATGGAATGCCTTTTTCAAGGAGCATCTTGGATGATTAGAGTTCCACAGATCACACTTCAGGGAATGCTAGAATTCTCTTTTTGTTACTAGATTTCACAGCCAGTCTTTTTTCCATATACATTTCTAAAGCTACTTATTTATCAATGGCCATCTCAAATGTCACTGCTTTTGGGAAACACATAGCTGGAAATCATTTTTCGCCTCTTTCTGTTCCCAGAGTATAAGTACACTTCATGATCGGGAGGGGAGGGCTGCTTATATTGCAGTTATGTCACGTCAGTCTCCTCCATTCCATCTAAGTTCCTGTAGGATGGGGAAGGTGTTCAGCTTACATTTATTTCTCTTCAGTACCTGGCATGGAGCTACATACTCAGCAGGTGACCAAATGTTTGAATCATAGCTTCTAATGTCACCAGACTTCTTGCAAGGCTTTCCTATTTTAGAAGACTACAACAAAGTTTCTCATGAAACTTGTTTTACTTTAGATGATTTACGTATTATTAGAATTATTAGAAATAGCATAAAAACCATATATTTGAGACAAATGTGGGGCCAACAATAGTTGTTGTGTAAGGACTATGGTACAGAGTAATAAATATCACCTACTGATATTAGTGTGGTTTACTAACTCCTAGAATCTACCTGAATTTCCTAGTTGGAAATCTGTGCTACAGCCTGAAGAGTATTTGTTTGCCTAACGGGTAATATAAAATATCAAGAGATCCTAAATGCCATTTGTTCACTCTTGGTTTTTAAAGAGATGTCTATTTTCAAAAGTTCAGAATTTTACTAAAATTTTTTTAGCTGAAGTTTGTTGGCAAAGTTTAAAGATTTTGCCTATATATAATGTTAACTAAAAAAGGCAACAAACAAAATTCTCGCTATGATTATAAAAACAGAACACTATATATAAATGAGTATAGACAAAGAGAATATGGATTAGTGAAAAATCAACTACCTGTTGGTGTGGTGGAATTGTGGGTCTTTTTCCTTTCTTTTTGGAGAGTATATCAGTTCTATAATATTATTTATGGACTAACTAGCATTTAAAAAACCACTTGCGGGGCCGGCCCTGTGGAGTAGCGGTTAAGTGCGCCCGCTCTGCTGCTGGTGGCCTGGGTTTGGATCCTGGGAGTGCACCGATGCACCACTTGTCAAGCCATGCTGTGGCGGCGTCCCATATAAAAAGTGGAGGAAGATGGGCATGGATGCTAGCCCAGGGCCAATATTCCTCAGCAAAAAGAGGAGGATTGGGATGGATGTTAGCTCAGGGCTGATCTTCCTCACCAAAAAAAAAAAAAAACCATTTGCAAATCACTCTGAATATTAGTGTGATAAAACTACTTGACAATTATTTTAATGTACCACCACATTTTCAACAAAGAAAACCTAAAATAGCTTAACATGTTCCTCCCTAGGAGCCAATTATAGACAAAAAGACCCACCTACAGCCCTATTTGTTTGTTTGTTTGTTTTTTTGTGAGGAAGATTAGACCTGAGCTAACATGCGATGCCAATCCTCCTCTTTTTGCTGAGGAAGATTGGCCCTGGGCTGACATCTGTGCCCATCTTCCTCTACTTTATATGGGACGCTGCCACAGCATGGCTTGACAAGCAGCGCATCGGTCTGCGCCCGGGATCCGAAGCGGCAAAACCCGGGCCGACAAAGCAGAGCATGCAAACTTAACTGCTACGCCACTGGGCCAGCCCCTGGCGCTATTTGTTTTTAATTTTCCAATATAGCTATTCCAACAGAATTGCTACCAATCTCCCCTCATACTATGAATAAGATCTTTCTCAGCAAAATGATAAATTAAGACTACTTAAAATTCACCAAGCTGAATAGCTATAATTAACCAACAGTATACAATTAATAATAAAAAAGGTAGAACAAATATGCAGTATGCCAACTCCCCTATCCCCAAAAAGAAATTCCACCTTTTTAAACATCTAGTAATCCCCTTGATGAGACTGTATCTTCCCCTCAAATACGTATGCTCTTCATTATGTACTCAATATTCCCTGTGCGTTTGTGACTCTGCCTGGAATGCCTTCACTGCTCTGACACTTTGACATTTCCAACATCCATTCCTTCCCGACTCCGCTCCAGCTCCCCTCCTCTTCCACGAAGCTTCTTCAGACTATCTCCACAGTTCCTCTAGCACATCTTTTTATAGCATTCTCTTTAGATTCACTACATACTATACTGGGTAGTTTTGTTTTTTTATGCACTTTTTTCTTCTCTCCTAGTAGGTCTTTACTGCAGGTCAGGTTCCTTATCTTAGACATCTTATGCCCAGCTATAGTATAAATTTTATACTGAATAAAAACTCAGATGCTGATGGTAAAAATATATATCAAATTTGACACATGATTGCAAATTTCTAATCATCTGGTTTAGAGTAAAAAAGATATTTTCATTTCAAAATACTGTATTTGAATATCTTTGAATTTATCACTGTGGTATGAAACACAGAATTTTTGATGGATAAGGGGCCCATTAGGAAATCTGCTTTTTCTGGAGTTCTAGAAGCCAAATAAAAATACAATTTTCTAAAAGAAATCCAAGCAATAAAACCTTTCTCCTATGGCAAATTCTATTTTATCTCTTTTGTTAAGATAGAATATAGATTACCTTCTATTCTAAAAGTTAACTTCTTTCTATATTTTTGCCAAAATTGTTTCTCCCAAGGAGCATTTCAAGCCATTCACCAAACTCAGCATCCTAACTCTGGCTGGCACACTGACTCCCCAGGACAAAGAATTTAATGTGCTGAGCTTTACTTCTCTTTGTTTTTCAACGTGAATACTACATCTTTTTTTGCAGGGTTAGATCTACTACTCAATTTTTGTAACATCAGAACCACAGTGTAAATATTTAACAGACTGCTAATGTTTTTAGACAGTAACAACAACCATTAAATGGACTATAGGGCAATCATTTAATGAAAGGGGGTGAAAGCCTCACAAAATTAACAAGAATAAAAATCAAGGCATAATGATTTCATATAAGTTGAAAACAGCAGATTAAAAGAGATCTACAATGAAATTATTCAATTTGATTGAACTTTATGCTCATTTTTCACAAGTAATTAATTCGCAGTCATATCAGCAATTTACTTCAATATGAAAAGAAATGTAATACATCAGAATTTTAGTCAAATAAGATCTTAATATTTAATTTGAAATCCCATTAAGGTGCCCAACACTTACCTCTGCATTGTAAAATTTGGTTTTCACATCCAGTGGTTTGAGAACCTAGTTGAATAAAGCATATCAGTCAGAAGATATTCTTATGATTTGACCATTGATTTTTGTTTGTTTGTTTTAAATCACAGTGCTTAAATTTGTGAAAGGCATTTTCCAATTTTAATGGTAAAAGACTTTTCTAATGAGTATGCAATACTCTTGCAAAAGCAAAACAACAAACAGAAAACAATCCCAAATCCATTTTCAAAAAGGCAACCATCATTTGTTGACTGGGTGATAGATAGTCACATGAGTTACATGGGTGTTTACTTCATAATATTTTGCTAAACTGAACACACATATTTTTCTATGTATGCATATTTCACCAAAAATGTTTATCAAAATAAGCAATCGAAACTTATTTTCCTTAGCATGGAAAACCTCAAACAAATGAGTGATGCAGCAAAGGAGGAGCAAATTTTTTTTCCTATTGATAGTACTTTTTCTTCTACTTACAAACAGAGGAATGGAAAATATATATAGCATCATATATAGAGCTACATTATATGGTCATCTTATCTCCCCACCCATACACATACATGTGTTAAATCAGTGGGTTTTAACTATTTTTGATCAGGAACTTTAAAAATCATGTATAAATATAAAATTCTACCTACAATTCCAGTGACTTATGGAGTACTGAAGGAAGCTTAGAACACTCAGCCCAAGTCAAAAATCTCTCATTTAAATAGTTCTTTAGAAATTTGGTATTATTTACCAATTTGGTATCTCATCTGGATTTTACATTCATTTTATCCCTTTTCTAGATTCTTGTCTTTTGTCAAGCATGAAAACAAAAAAAATTGCGTTTTGGATAAAAATCTTCAAGTGAAACATTACATTGGCAATGATAATTTCTCTGCTTTTATTTAACTTAATTTAGTCTGACTTTAGATTGCTAGTAATGTGACAAATCCAAAATTATTAAGCTATTGGCTTTACTTGGAGCCTGTTTTCAGTGCAGATAAATAAAAACTTCCTAGGTAAGAAAAGGCATCTAAAAACTATTTACCATTGTCATGTTCAATACCTGAAACTTGAAGAATTTTCTAAAATACATTTTTTCTCCACCCTGAGTTGTATAACTCACTGCACACACCAAGCTGAAACAGAAAGATGTCTTAATGATTTTGAATAATTTTCAATTTTGTTTCTTAACAGTAATTCAATACACCTCCATTCTACCCACAAATTTGGAAAATATTTATGCCGATGATGTGAAAGTGAAGCCAGATGAACCTAGAGCAGGAAAAAAACAGTTGTAGCAGATATGGACATAATTATATGAACAAGAAAGCTCTGAATAGTAAAATAAAATATACCATTTTTGGAGCAGGAAGGAAGTCAGAACCTTTTCTTTTAAAAGGTGAAATATATTTCAAAATAAATCCCAGAATAACCAAACAGTTGAAGGTAAAAAATAACTTCATATAAATTAGAAGAAAATGTAAATTTAAAAAAGATTCTAGGGTGGGGAAAGACTTTTTAACATAAATGCAATGGAAAGGAAAAGATTTTTAAAAATTTATAAATTAAATAAATCAAAACCACTAAAACAAAATTAAAAAGAAGACAACAAACTGGGATAAAAGACTTCTAACAATATAAAGAGAAATTCTTGTAAACAAAACATTAATATCTTACTCAAAATAGGAGGAAAGGATACACAGACAAATTGCGGTACCATAATTGGCTAATAAAAATGTGAAAACGTGCAGCCTCACAAGCAGTCAAAGAGACTAAAACAACGAGATAAGACTTTTCCATCTCGGGCCAGCCCGGTGGCTTAGCGGTTAAGTGTGCGCGCTCCGCTACTGGTGGCCCGAGTTCGGATCCCGGGCGTGCACCGATGCACTGCTTCTCTGGCCATGCTGAGGCCACGTCCCACATACAGCAACTAGAAGGATATGCAGCTATGGCATACAACTATCTACTGGGGGCCTTTGGGGAGAAAGAGGAGGAGGATTGGCAATGGATGTTAGCTCAGAGCCGGGCTTCCTCAGCAAAAAAAAGAGGAGGATTAGCACGGATGTCAGCTCAGGGCTGATCTCCCTCACAAAAAAAAAAAAAAAAAAAAAAAAAAAAAAAAAAAAAAAAAAAAGACTTTTCCATCTCTTAAGATCTGGCAAAAATTCTTTATAAGTAATATCAGGGTTGGTGAGGATTTAGAGAAACTGACTCTTTTTACACTGCTAGTGGTTATAAGAGATTTACAAAACAATCCTTCAGTAAAAGAGTCTTAAAAATGCTTCTATGCTTCTATAGTAAACCTGCTTGAAGCAATCTATCACGAGGAAATATTAAGGTGTTCATCACCATGTTATTTATAATAGTGAAAAACTGAAAATACTCTAAAGTCCAACATCAAGGTAAACAAAGTATAGTATGTGGTCCAAGTGTGTAAGATAAAGCCATTTAAAAACTAACATTTTCAAAGAGTACTGACTCAAGTGGGAAAATGTTCACAGTGAGTTGAAGAAGATAAAACCGGGCGTAATATGATAACAATTTTGTAAAATATTAAATTATTTACATACATCTGTTATATATATGCATATAAAAAGGAATGAAAAGAAATGTACTGATAGTTTAATAGTGGTTATACTAGGTCAGGACATCATAGGTAATTTAATTTCTCCTTTTACTTGTGCCTAGCACTAAGCCAGGTGCTAGGGATAAAGAGTTGATCAAAATACCATACCTGCTCTCAAAGTGCTCACAGTAGGCAGCAGTGTAGTGAGTTTCAGGTTTTGAAGCTAGATTTAGATTTGAGTTCTATGCCATTGTTTACTAGCTATTTAATTTTACAAGAGTCTCATTTTCTGTAAAATGAGGATTTTACACATTTAATATCATTTCAATAAACTCAAATACAAAAAATATTGACCACTGTTCTCTGCTAGATCCTGGGGATATAGTAGACTTCATGGAACTCATACTTTAATGGGGATGGCAGGCACTCAGAAGTAATCTAAGTACAAAAGACATAAAAAAGAAAGACAAGCTATGGATGCTATAGGGTATACAAAAAGGGGGATTTAATCTAGTCTAGGAGGTCATGAAGGCCTCTTTGAGGAAGTCATGCTGAATCTGAAATATGAAGAAATAGAAGTAAACTCAAAATGACATAGGCATTCCTTCGTAAGGGAAGAATACATTTCAGATCATGGAGGAGTTCAGAGGTAAGAGACGTCCACTATAACTGCAGTGTAGAGAGGGAGGGAAGAGTGACAAAAAGTGAGAACTAGAGTGGTTGGTAAGGATTAGGCTGTGGAGAGCTTTGCAAAACCTATACAAAGTCAGAATTTCCAAAGGGTAGTGGGCGGTCACTGAAGAGTTAAGTGACTTATCCAAGATGACACAGTTAATAAATGATGGAGCTAAAATTTGACTCCAGAAGTCATACCAATCACAGAATATATATTAAAAAGTGCCTACAGCAGAGCTTGTCACCAAAATGAGCTGATTAAATAATAGCCAATAGCATATACTTTAATATTATATACTTCTTTAACACAAAGAAGAGAAGTAAAAATGGTGGTGTAAGTGGACATGAAGAAGAGAGGATGAGAGATATAAGAACTAATAGGACTTTGTGAATGATAGTATGTGGGGGTGGTAAAGCAGATGGAGAAGTCTAAAATTACTTTATATGACTGCAATTTTCATATCTGCTTCTCAGACAAAGAAAAATAGAGCATTCACATTCAAATACATACATATGCCTGAAATACAGAATTTGAATTTTTTTTCTCATAGCTTGTCTTACTTTGGTTCTGTATTTCTGAGTTCTCAGCATAGAGCGCATATACACAGTTAAGTATAGAATACAGCACTGGAAAATTGTGAATTTTAAAATAAATGCTATAAATATCAGTTGCTAGCATTTCATAAAATAATAAATGTACTTTTAGACAGAGTGCTACCTGGGTTTTAAACATTTGCATGGTTTTTTATTTTTTAGATAAGATTGTCTGTAGATGCAAAAATCAAACTATAGATAAATGAGGACAAATTAAGATTTCTTCCCCTACAAAACAAACATTTTGTTTGAAGTTTGTTTCTGGTAAGCATGTCAACATGGAACATAAAATTCCTTCTAAAGGAGGTTCTTAGGCTTAAGGGTACATGGAAATAAAGCAAAAACTTCAAATAAAGGCGTATATGAATAAAATTCTTTGAGAACTAGTAAAATTAATCCTTACATGTGTGTTCCAATTTCTTTTACTTCGTGGTGTATGACATCGTCAATACAACAATCAGGTTTAAGTTCAGCCACTGCAGCATTAGAGGCTGAAAGATTTAAACGCTGAGAACTTGTCTGAAGATCAGCCTTGAAAGAAAAAGGTTAAAAAAGATCCAAATGAGATTGGTTACCTACTCGGGTGGATGGGTATGTGTAGAAAGAACAGGGGACTAGGAACAAGGAAGCAGGGATAAAGGGGGAGCAACACTTCTCTGTGTAAATCTTTCTGCATAGCTCTGATGCTTAGAACCAGGGCAATGTTCACACATACACCAAAAACAAATAAAGAAAATCAGCCAGGAAGTTGGAGGAATCCAAAATGAAATACAAATGGTACCAAATAAACCTGACTGTATTACAAATGAACACAACCATGGGGAAGGGGAGAACTAACCTAAGTAAGTTTGGCAAATAAAAGCTCAAGACAAAAAGAATGGCACATAAATATACTCTAGCTAGTACATTTGCTTTTACACTGGGGTATGGATAAGCAATTTTGAATCTTTTATGTGCATACTAGGACAAAAAAAAAAAAGAATACATTATGGATAACAAGAGACAAATTTCTCACCTTCGGAGAAAAAAAGGTACAAATAAGGAAAGGGAAAAGGCTGCAATGAAACCTTTGGTGTTGGACTGCAATTTGAGGCAACAGCATGAACATACAGTTTTTAAACATATATACAGATAGATATTACAGAAACAAATATACATAGATGTGTATGCATGTGTTAGTATATAAAATTAAAAGATAACAATTCAAAACAATATTAGATGTCACAGACCAACTGATTTGTAGAACTAGAGATCGGCACTGAAGTCATCAACTAAGAAAGGACTACCTTCTCTAAAGTAGTACCCTCTACCACCCAGTTACTCTCTATCATATTCCCCTTTTTACTTTCTTTTGAACATTTATCACTCTTGCTAATTGTCTTAAATGGTCTCCTCTCTTCATCTCAGTTACTTTCTATCACATGCAACTTTAACTTCCTTTGTAACAGTCATCACAATCTGTAATTACCCTATTTATGATTTTGTTCACCTGTTTCCTTCTGTCTCCCCTACCAGAAATGTAAGGTCTATGGAGGCAGGAACCTCTTGTCTTCTCCTGCTCATCACTATAACATGGTGCCTGGCACATGGTAGGCAATTAAGAAGTATCTGTTGAATACTGAATGAATGAAGTTATGATAAAACTTCAAGGCAAACGTCAGGAAAAATTCAGAGAAAGCAACGATCACATTCACTCATGGGGATTAAGGGAAGTCTTTTTTTTTTTTTTT